CCTCCCCCCTAACTGCCCCCAAACCACTCCCTCCTGGGTGAGGACTTTGAATTATGGAGATCCCAGACCCATAAAATCATCAAGTTCAGGACTTTGATCCCCACCGGGAAACAGGTCTCCAGTTGGAACTGGTAAAGAACTGGAAGGAACTAGAGATGGAACTGGAAGAAACTGGTGAGGGACTGGAGCTGGAACTGGAAGGAACTGGTGAGGAAGTGGAAGGAACTGGTGAGGAACTGGAAAGAGCTTGTGAGGAACTGGAAGGAAGTGGTGAGGAAGTGGAAGGATCTGGTGAGGCACTGGAAAGAGCTTGTGAGGAACTGGAAGGAAGTGGTGAGGAAGTGGAAGGATCTGGTGAGGCACTGGAAAGAGCTTGTGAGGAACTGGAAGGAAGTGGTGAGGAAGTGGAAGGATCTGGTGAGGCACTGGAAGGAGTTTGTGAGGAACTGGAAGGAAGTGGTGAGGAAGTGGAAGGATCTGGTGAGGAACTGGAAAGAGCTTGTGAGGAACTGGAAGGAACTGGTGAGGAAGTGGAAGGAACTGGTGAGGAAAGGGAAAGAGCTTGTGAGGAACTGGAAGGAACTGGTGAGGAAGTGGAAGGAACTGGTGAGGAAAGGGAAAGAGCTTGTGAGGAACTGGAAGGAACTGGTGAGGAAGTGGAAGGAACTGGTGAGGAAAGGGAAAGAGCTTGTGAGGAACTGGAAGGAACTGGTGAGGAAATGGAAGGAAGCATTGAGGAATCAGAAGACACCAGTGAGGAACTGGAAGGAGCTGCTGAGGAAGGTGGAGTCCGGATCCGTGAGAAGCCTCCAGAGATGAGCAGGGGCTTCCTGTGGAAGTCCCTGGATCGCAGCGTGGAGATACGCATCACCAACAAAATACAGAACATCACCTTGCACAACCCCAGGTAATGTGGGGGTGGGGGAGGAATGCGGGAAGGGAGAGCCATTGATGTGGGGGGACACTTCCCCCAGTATTCAAGGAGAAGGTCCAAGCTGGGCTTCCTCCCGCTGGTTGGACAATCCCCCCAATGATTGGACCAGCTCCTGCTGGTTGGGTTGTTTCCCACTGGTTGAACCATCTCCCAGTGGTTGGACCATCCCCCCAGTGCTTGCCCCACTTCCCACTGGTTGGCCCACCACTCCCAGTTTCCCCATTGCCCCATTCCTCCTCACCCGTCCTCTTCCTCCCAGGAGCTTCTGCTTCAGCGGCTACAGCTCCATACCCCCCAGTCCCCGCATCCCAGCCGGTGTCACCGAGAGCTGCCACTTCACCAACTCCTTCATGAAGGTCCGAGGTTGCGTCGGGCTCCTGGTCTATGAGGCCCACACCTTCACCTTGGCCATCCTTTTCTCCAATCCCTCCAACTACAACCTTTACCCCATGGAGCTGGCCATGGAGATCTCTCTCCTCAAGGTCCACCTGGGTGACCTGGAGGCCACCTACACCCGCATGTACAAGGGACAACCGGCCACCACTGACAAGAACACGGGCTACCACCGCGTCAAACTGGGTGCCTGCCAGGAGCCTGTCACTGTCTCCGCTGGCCACGTGAGGGTGATGGCCACCATGTCCAACTCCACCAAGTCCATCATCAAAGTCATCCTGGAGAACCGAGAGCCTTCGCCTCACCTCAACCTTGGGGGACAGCACCCAAAGGGAAAGACACCCCCTGTCCGTGTCACCCCAGACACCAAGAGGGACCTTCTTCCCCCTCAATAAAGGCTTGAGTGAAACCATTCTTGTGTCCTGATTGTGCTAAAACAGGAAGGCTGGGGGGAATCCCAAAAGGCAGCTGG